TTCTGTGAACACTTCCTTGTGTATCTGTAAGCACGGTAAAACATGTGTAAAAAGCGCATCATCAGCGTTATTACGATTTAACCAGCAGTATTACATGACTGAGAGAGAAACAAACAGAAATCTGATAAATGCCGTGTTTTGCGATTTCACTTATACTTGTTTGAGTGAATTCTAGAAAGAAGCAAGAAACTTTAGAAGGGATACTGTAGTAGGTCACGTTCGATATATCAATATTTTAATATGGCTCTGAGGTATTCAGGACAAACTTTATATTTGGGCGTATTTTCTTTGTATCCAAGTTTATCCAAGTCTCTTTTGGGAATTGAGGGACAAAGGAAACAGAAATTTTGCAATTTTGTTCTGGAAGCATCGGAGCCGTGTGAGAATTTTGATAGATGGAACGTGGCTTATTCTAGCAAACCAATGTTTCAATTAGTTGTGAGTATAAGAGAGTAAGGGATCGAGTTAATCCCCACATGAGCCTTACTTCCAAGGTAATCCCAGGTTCATTAAGCTTACATGACGGCCGAAGCGGCATTATACCTATTTTCACCCTCCACGAAGACATCCACGCAACGTGCGTGGTAACACCCGCAGAAGAACTTGTATTGGTATCATGTCACGCGCGTGAAAACATTCGAGGAAGAATTTGAATTGGTATCCTGTCAAAAATTAACTTGAAAGAGCTTACCTTGAAAACAAGGCTTATATGGGTGATAAACTCTCTTACCGTTCATTTAAACTTGGTTTCATATTACATCATTCCAAATTGATCTTGGCAATGACTTATTTCACAGTTACTCGCAATGCAAATACATTGGAGTCTCCGAAATCCATTCTTAGTTTGGCATTGCATAGACTGCATACGATATTTAAATGTGAAGTTCAAGTTTGATATTGTTCATTGTAACACGACAAATACCTTAGTAAATGGCTCCAAACTCGCTAGAATATTGCTAAGAACACTCAGAAGAACCATTTCATCCTGAAATCCTGTCCACAAGTGAGCTAGTGTAATAAACTGGGGCTGAAAATCACAAAAGGAAAGACGTCTGAGAAATGAACAAGAAGAACTTACATGTAACTGTACTAGAGCAATGCGACAGAACAGGGGCCAATATTTTCCAATATGACCCAAAAGTTGGCAGAAAGACCCCTAATCTGTAAGGAATAGTATATGATCAAAATGAAAACCGGAACTTATCAAAACTGCCACGTAACTTGGCGAATTACCA